GGATAGGATAGGATAGGATAGGATAGGATAGGATAGGATAGGATAGGATAGGATAGGATAGGATAGGATAGGATAGGATAGGATAGGATAGGTTGTTCTTTAAAAGCTCAGAGGCTATTTGTTCCTTTTAGGAGGATTCATGAAAGAATAAATAGATTATTGGTGACCATTTCAGCTCTTTAAAATATTTTTCCCCTCTACATTTTTCTTTTAGCTTCAAAAATCAGGGCTCTGCTTGAGGCTTTGCCTTTGATTTTGCCAAGGAATCCCACAAAAGTGCTGGGATATTTTCCCATGTTTTGGAAAAAGGAGACAAGAGGAGGCCACTGGGAATCAGGGTTTTTATTCCAATGGACTGCTAATATGAGGTTGAGCAATTCTTGCCACTTTTTGTGCCTCTGTTTCTGTAAATATTAATGTAGCAGAATCTTACTGATCTATTGTAAAGCCTTTATATTTTCTGTAGAATAAATTCCTGAGGTTATTATTGTCATTATATTAAGTGGCTGGGACCTTTTTTGCTCCCAAGTGCTTTCCAAGTGTAGGCACAGTCTCAGTGAATAAATAACACACCATTGGGAGCAGTCTGACTGTAAGTGACCCTTCCTGGCCAGCCTTGTCCTTGCAAAAGGCTCAGCTGTCCTTGCTGCTTGCTGTCCCCTCTTCTCCTTCCCAGCAGCACTTCAGGACACATTACAGCCTGTGCTTGAGGGCCTTGAAAAAAAAAACAACAAAAAACAACCACAAATCCAAAAACCCACAAACCACAAACCCTGCTTTTTGGGGTGAATACCTCTTTTCTCCTGTAGCACAGGTCGGTGTGACACAGGGCCACCACCCCTAGCTCAAGCCCCAAATGTGCTCAGCCTGGTGGGGACAAGGGCAGATTCCTGGCTGGATGGAGCAGCTCAGAAGTGGCTCTGGGAGCTGCAGTGCCCAGACCCAGGCCCCTGGCTGCTGGCACAGCACTGGCTTCATCAGGAGCAGCTGTGGGTGCAGTGTTCCTTACAGGAGCTGCCAGCTCCAGCTCTGCTCCATGGGATCCATGTTTTCAACCCTTTGCATCCATGTGCAAATCCTGGGAAGCAACTGGAGCTGGCACAGGCAGAGATTGTCTCCAGCAGAGTTCTACATACTGCATCCAGTGAGCAGCCCAGCCCAAGCTGGGCTCAAGGCATTGCCAGGACCTGTGAGCCCTTGTGCAAGAGCAGCAGAGCTGTCCTAAAATCTGCCAAGCCCAGCTCTGCTCCCCTGCTCTGGAACCGAGCAGGAACAGCCCCCCCCAGCCAGAGAGGGGATTGGGAATGCTCTGTTAGAAGACTGCTGGACACCCCTGAGCTTCACCAGGCCTGGCCTCAGAGACCCTCACAGCCCAGGAGAACACAGCAAACACAACCTGGAATTTCTGGTGAAAACTTCACCCTTCTGGTGCTGGCTGCAAATCCCAGTGAGGCCCGAGGCTCTTTTCTATCTTTGGGTGGCCCAGGACATGGGGACACACAGCTGGTGTCTGCTGCTCTGCCAAATCCTGAAATTACCCAGATAAGGAGTACTCATGGGTGCTGCCCACAGGAGCTCACCCAGCTGAGCTGCTGTGGGGCTGCAGGGATAAGCAGGGTGATGGAAGTTCCTTTGATGGAAGTTTCCTGGGGAGGCAGAGCTAATGCCAGAAATTTTCCCAGCTAGTTTGCAGGAGCAGCAAGGAGGCAGCTCATCTCCTCTCTGGACTTCTTCACATCTGGGAAACAACCCTGCTGCTGGAACTCAACCCCCTCCACTTGCAGCTGCTAACCCTGGGGAGCAGCTCTTCCACAGGCCAGCCAGGCTCCTGGCTGCGAGGGACAGGTCCTTCACAAAACCCTCTGCTGCTCCCAAAGGGCTTCAGGAAGTCATTAAAAGAAGGGAAAGTCTCAGTCATCCCAGAGAAAGCAAAGGGGCATTACCTGCAGGCAGGGCTCCTGGGATCCAGCAGCAGGGCTGGCGGGCACTGCCACACTCTCGCCGTGGGAAGCAGCTTGTGCCTCTCTCCCTCCCGATGTTTTTATTTTGGCAATACAGTCTGAAGGTCGAAGAAAAAGTCCGAAGGAGTGGCTTGTGGCAGGCAGTAAATTATTACCCTGGACCGCTCTCCGAGGGGACCAAGGCACAGGGAGCTGGGGTGGGAGAGGAAAATCCCTCCTTGGGGGGATTAGAGGGCAGCTCACTGGCAGGGAAGTGCAAAGGGTCAGAACAAAGTGCTCTGTTTGCCGGAGGCTGTGCTGGGTCACATGCCGGCTCCCAGCAGAGGTAATGAGGCATGGGTCACCTCCCAAACTCCAGCAAGACCTCCTGGCTGTGGACATGACCTGTTGCAAATCCCCCAGCAACCCACAGACCTTGCCAGACAGGAAGGAGCTGAGTGAGATGGAGTCTTGCCCTCTGGCAGCACTGAGGGGCAAGAAATCCAGAGACTTTTACATGCCTGATCTCTGCAGGTGCGACAGTCCTACAACCTCCCTTCTGTCCCCTGTGTGTGCCCTAATCTATGGATCCTGGGCCACTCATACAAAGATCCATCCGAGAATCCAAGAAGGACCTGTGGGCACATCAGGACTGAGCCCAGAGGGGCACTCTTAGAGCCAAAATCTACTGCCCTCCATGCTCTCCCCAATTTGCTTCATTCCTCTCACTTTCCCTCTGCAGGAGCCCAGGACCAGTGGTCACACATCCCTCTGTGGGAGCCCAAAAAGAGTCTGACAGGTGAACGTGTTGATGGAGTCACTGGTGGAGCCTCCAGCTCTTCACCTGAAACACAAACTCAAAAAATGTACAGAATCAGTGGATGGAGAACATTGATGCCACTGTCAAAATAAGCATTTTCTGAAATAGCCTGGAATATGTGATATGGAGTATCCAAACTTCATGAGGCCGAGATATCCAGCTGCCACCACAGACAAGGTCTCTGGCTCTATGTGTAAGGAAAAGGCAGAGCCATACCTGCCCTCTGCACACAGGGAGGAGTGGGCTCAGCCCTCACCTCACTGCAGCTCCCACCGATGGTCCCATTAGGGGGCACAACTGTGTGGACGCATAAGGGCAACAGAGATTTGGTATTACCCTCATGTCTCAGGAAACGAGCCCAAATAGAGGTCCCCATTGTGTTTGAGGAACTGTAAAGACACAGAGAGAAATAAATCCGTTCCCTGGTAGTGCAGAGAGAGCCTTTGTTTGTCTGGTTTGCAGAGTGAGAAGGTTTAGAGGATTGTTGCAGCACATGACCAGAAGCTCCAAAGCACAGACAAAAGCCATTGGGAACACAGATCAGACTTTGACGTCGCACTGGGTTTTCAGCAGATTTCTGCTTTGTTCAAGTGAAACTGCTGCTATTTTGGGTGCTATTTTCCTCTCTCCGCCGCGTCCCTTGCTGTTCGGGGCTGTTCGTGTCCCACCACACTGGGCACACGAAAGCTGTCACAGGCACCGGCACAGCATCGAAATGTCTGCTGCGACGGGCCGGAGGGGCTGCCCGTGTTCCGAGCCCAAGGCACAGGTGTTGCACCAACAGCCACGTCCGCTCCAGCCACGGGCAGGTTTAGAGGACAAAGCCTCTGCTTACCGCAGGGCTTGCACAGCCGGCTCGTTTCGCAAGCGGGTCCCGCGTCCAACACCAGCGAGCGCCGGCTCCCGGCAGCAGCACGGAGGGAAGAGCCTGAACCGAGCGACAGCGGGACAAAGCCCTCTGGGGCTCGCTGGGAAACCTCTGGCTTCGCCACAGCTGCAAAGGCAGCGAGACGGACGCTGAGGTGCCCTGTCAGCCCCGGGAGCCGCCCCGCCTGCTGCTGCCGGGCGGCGCAGGGAGGCACCGATGCTCCTGCAGCCGGGGCGATCTCCCTGCAGGAGGAGCTTGGGGAGCTCGGGGATTTGAGGTGCATTGCAGGGGCTGAGGGAACCCTCTGGTCAAGCTTCTCTGTTCTTCACCCTGAGGGATAGGAGAGAGGATCCCTGACCTTGCCCTCACTGTCAAAAAAAGGGCACAAATCTTCTTACAGACCCAAGTACAGCAGAGGCCACTTCTGCTCGCAAGGAGAACGGGGGAAAAGTGCTGAATTAGGTTTAAAACCTCTGCAAAATTAAACCTTCATAAAACGGTTTCCATTATTGTGTACTCTGAACCAGAGCACTTTTGTCCCCTGTAAAACACAAAGACCAGGACAAGTTAGTCTGTGAGCATCCTGTGTCCAGACTCAAGAAGCTGCCGGCAGGAGAGGAGAGCCGGCTGCTGTGGGCTGCAGCATGGCATGGCATGGCATGGCATGGCATGGCATGGCATGGCAGAGGTCCCTTTGCTTCTCTGGTGGGGAACACAGAGATAGAAACATCCTGAAAGCACCGAGTGCAAACCAGAGATTTGCAGAGCACTGTATTAACCTGCCAGGCAGCCTGTGCTCCCCACTTATTCCCAGGATCCGAGGGGTTATCCAGCCCTGCTCAGGGCAGGGAGACAACGGGCTGGATCTCCTCCCACACTGGCCCCTTATCATCGCCCTGGGGAGACGGAACAGAGAGTTCAGGGGGGAAGCAGGAGCAGCGAACACACCTGAAGAGAAGCCCCCGTCCGGGCTGGCTCC